CCTTCAGTGTGTCGCTCGGTTCCATCTTGACACTTAGCAAGTGATCGACTTCCTTTGGTGTTTTTGTGTTGGTTTTGAAGCGTGTAACAAACGCCTCGGGCAACTGATGCCACCTTTGTATGCTCCCTTCCGGCAACCTCTCGAACCACTTTAAGCCCAGCTCGCCTAAACTTGACGGGAAGATTAGGCACATAAGTCTGTCATTTTGCCTATGTCCGGCCATAACCTGTCAGAAGTGGCTCATATGCATGTAAGGATCAGTTTTTCCGTCGTAGAGTGTGAACTTAGGCTGGTGGAAGCCTGCCGGAAGCGGTGTTGTTTCTATTTCCAGGGAAAAAGGGGTGGCACTCAGCCTGGCCAAGTCCGTATCTTCAAAGAGTGGCACTGCTTGGCGGGGTGGAGGCATTCCGACCTCCTCGCTAGCGTGAACCCCGTAGGATAGCCGCTGAAAAGCCGGTATTCTCTGAGCTTCGCGCCGGCGAGCCCACTCCTTTAAGACCGCCCGTAAATCCTTTGAATGAGCGGAGTAAGAGTACCTCGACGTCGTCACCAGACGTGAGGGTTTGTAGGTGCTGTCTTGTGCGCTAGACTTTTCTGCATGCGCGTCGGAATCACCAACCTGGTAACTTCTGGTAATAGATATGGACTGAGTGCGTCACAGACTCTGACCGCCTGAATGGCGGGATGGGGTGCGCTCACTGTGGTCACCCACTCCAGCTACACCTTTCCCTTTGACATGTCGCTTCAGATCCTCCATCTCCGCCGCTATTCGCCGGATGACAGCGTCTTGGTCCCTCAACTTATTTTCCAGACGTCTGGCGTGTGAGTCTCTCCTCCGCTGGTGACCGTCTGGACTCCGTGAATGACCGTGACTTCTTCTGCACTTATCCCGCGCGTCTCCTGACTGTCCTCCGGTGGGCGTCCCCAAGTCCGCCATTGGATGGATGGGGGGAGAGCCTTCTCTCCTTCGGGTGAACTCCGGGGTGGCTCCATCTATGGCAGACAACGGAAACTCGTCGTTGTTCGCCATGGACGGCGATCAGATGAACCTGGAAGACAAGGTTTTGTCTGTCAAGATTCCCACAGACGGCGCCAATTATACGGGGAGCAAATATTCAGGCAAGCCCGTATTCGTTTCTTCCAAGTTCTTGTCTGTCCGATCGACCTGCGAGCACAACGGCAGTGAGCTACCCGGCGGTGTGTGGCCAGAAAACCCCTCTGACGGTCAAGTTAGCACACACCTTAGGATAAAGAGAGAGAGAGGAATGTTAGAGTGTAGGAGTTCCTTACAAAGTGTTCGTCTGTTTTTGTATGGGGGGCGCAGACATGCTTATATACCCTTCTGCGTCTCTAACCTGCTCCCAATGGTCTCTCGACACGTGGCTCTGCTATCCCATCTATCAGCACAAATCCTGCTGAGCGTCACCTAATCTCAACTGCCCGCTCACTCTATTGGGAGCTCGACAGCCGAGCTACACCATCTTCTCTGCCAACGGTCGTGCTGTGCTTCATGTCCAAGCACTCCACTAGCTAAGTTTAACGAGGACCGGGCTGGGCAACATCTCGGCAAAGCCGAGCAAACAGGTACCTCGGCCGACCACGCCTTTCCGGACGCCGGTCACTTAACTTGACTGGCTTCGCCTCCGCCAAACATGTAACTCGGTCCAACCAAACGTTGCCTTAACCGAGCAACTTCTTTCCAAACTGGGCAACACATCCTCGGCCCAACACTTGCCCGACCCAGATCTGTCCGGCAAAACCCTGTCTGGCCTAGATCTGTCCGGCCCAGTACCAGATCATTAATCTCCCTCTCATGGTGTAATGTAAAACATTTTCGCAAATTCCTTCGGAGTGCATAACATAAACTAGCATACTTGTGTTCATCCAACTAAGATGAGGTCTTCTATGCATTGATAAATTTACACATTGGTTTGTTGCAGAATTCAAAGTTGACACAATGATGGAGAAGTTAGGAATAGAAATGCTTGAACATTGTGGGGGCTTACCACTAGCCATTGTAGTACTTGGAGGACTTTTAGGAACAAACTTGACCCTGAGCCATTGGCAGAAAGTGCAACAAAATTTCAATTCATATCCAAAAAGAGGAGAATACATGAGAAGAGGAGGAGGACAAGATAAAAGAGTATTTGGATGTGTTAGCTTTGAATTACCAAGATTTGCCATATCAGCTCAAGGCATGTTTCGTTTATTTGGGCAATTATCCTGTTGATTTTGACATCGATGTAGAGAGACTATATCAATTGTGGATGGCTGAAGGGTTCATATCCCAAGAAGAAAGAGGAGAAGACGAAACCATGATGGACGTGGTAGAACGTTATTTGGGTGAACTACTACAAAGGTGCATAGTTCAAGTGGAATTGCAGAGTAGTATTCAATATTTAGAGAAAGTAGAGGGTTTCGATGTTATGGACTTCATGATCTCATGAGAGATTTATGTTTGTCAAATCAAAGGCAATAGAGGAAAATTTTCATCAGGCCATTGAATATGGGCATATAAATCAGCAAGAGCATCCCTCTTCTTCATCCATGGTAACATCAATTGGTGGTAACACTTACAGTAAAATACACAGACTTATCATCAATCTAGATAACAAGAATAGTAACTTTCATCTCTTTGAACAAGAAGAAAGAGCTCGGCATATTCAGACAATTTTATTCTTCAGAGGTGATGATTGTGATTATCCGTTTGGAGAACAATTGACCCGTTTCTCCAAAGAATCCAAATTTGTTATAAATTTTGGTGGAAATTCATCTGACTATGTAATACGAGCAAAAGAGTTACCAATCCTTTTGAGGCACTTGGGTCTAAATAGGACTGGATTCACAAAGTTGCCATCATCAATAGGCAACCTTAGACACTTGCAAACCCTTGATTTACGAATACACTTCCATACGATCAGTGTTCCAAATGTGTCATGGAAGATGGAAGGATTGGTACATCTTTATATTCCTTATAATTTCTTTTATACAGAGGGCGAACTACGAGTAGATGGTTTGAGGAATCTAGAGATGCTACAAAACTTGGATGCATATAAGGTTAATGTTAGAGATCTCTTCAAATTACCCAATCTTCGGAGATTGGAGAATGTATTCATATGGGGAAAGCTTGAGGACCTAACAATGGTCAATAACTACATCCTTAACAACAACCATCGACTACAACACACATCCATTTCTATTCAAAATTGTGATTTGTGTTCAGAAGATGGATTAAGCCTCCTGAGACAATTGCTTGGGTGTGTTTTCCTTGTTCAATTGAATATATATGGGATTATAGGTAAGTTACCACAATACGAACACCAGTTATTATGCCAAAGCCTCACCTTTTTATGGTTGCAGAACTCTGAACTTAAGACCCAATGGCAACACTGGAGAAGCTGCCTAATTTAAGGATTCTATTCTTAGGTTCTGCCTTTGTAGGAAAGAAAATGGTTTTCTCTGCTCATGGTTTTCCTCATCTTAAGAGTCTAAACTTTCTCTTCTACATATTGCATCCTTCAAGAAATTGAAGGTGCTTCCAAATGGATGGAGATTCATCCCTACCCTCCCGTAATTGCAGATATTCTGTATGCCAAAACCATTCAATGACAAGCTTCGAGTGGTCGATGGCCAAGAAGGAGAGGATTTTCACAAGATTAGCCACATCCCTTCCATTTGTTTTGAAGGTAAAACAATTTTCTAGATGAATCCAAAAGGGAACAGTATGAATTCCAATATAACACAGTTTTTGTATTTAATCTTTCATATTAAAATAAACCGACAAAAAAAGAAAATAGAAGAAGTTAAAAAAAAATCAATAAGACCCATAAATAAATCTTACTTGTATTAAAGGCGCTGTTTATGTGTACAACCCCCTTAAGGTTGCACACCATATGCAACCCAATTGTTAGCCGTTAGATTACAATAATTGATCAAGACAATTGAATTGTTTAATCGTGAAAAATTGAAACCGGTGCAACCGGTTAATGCTTGTATTTGCATGACTACATCCCACTCACTCTCTGTATTTCGTCTCTATCTCTCTCTGTTCTCCTTTCTATGTAAGGTTGAGTCAGTGTAACCCTTGATTTCCATTAACAGCGAGAAGCCCCTGCTGGGTTGATTCCATTGACGAAGCTCTGTAGGGAACAGTATAACGGGCGATTTCCAACAACAACGGAACTACAAGGCTGTGTTGGTTCCATTGCTGAAGTGAAGCCTTTCTCTCCAACTAGATATGAGGTATGGAGCTGTCTCCCTCTCTCTCTCTGTCCTCTTCGCTTCAGCTATTTTCACTCAACTAAACCCCTATCCTAACTTCAACTGCTCTACGCTTCGCTCAAACGGAAACCCCTCCATTAGCAACTAACCTTTCTCTTTCTCAAGCAAGTGTTTGTGTTTGCACAAAAGTTTTTGTGTTAACATTTTTCGGTCATCAAGTAATTGTTTGTACTAATGTCATGTATAGTATGGCCCCAGCGGAAGTTAAAAGGGAAGGTGATGATTATGACATTCCAAATGAAGTAGATGCCATTCGTTTGATGAATGAAAGTCGGTCAGAACCTTATCATGGTTGCGAAGCTGGTCCGAGCAATGAAGAAGCAACCAATATGAACGTTGAAGATGGCGGAACCGATGTGAAAAAGAAATGGTTGACGATGCTTATCGCAATGACATGGTTGGTGATGTTGAACGTGCTATTCTGGAACAGAAATTTGATTCGGTCGAAGATGGAGAAGCTTTCTACAATGCGTATGCTAAAGCCAAGGAATTTAGTATACGAAAATCCAGATTTAACACAAATAAAGAGGGAAAGGTTGTTACTAGGCTGTGGTTGTGTTCAAGGGAAGGTCAGAGATTACCAAAATACTTGGACCGTGTTGCTGAGAAGAGTAGAGCTCCCAAGGCACTAACATGAGTAGGTTGCAAAGCCCAATTTCGCATACGGTATGATGCAGATGCTGGTGAAGGGGGAAAGTATGTTGTGACTCACTTCGTCGCAGACCACAACCATGAATTGGAGGAACAACACTGTGTGATGTATCTGAGGTCACATCGTAGTTTAAATAGCGTTGACAAAGCTCAAGCAATGGCGATGTGCAACGTCGGTGTGAAGACTAGCCAAATCATGGACTATATGGTAAATCAATATGGGTTTTATGAGAATGTTTGTTTCATCCGTACGGATCTGCACAACCATATTCAAGCCAAACGTAGAGCAGAAGTTGAGGATGGTGATGCGCAGGGTGCATTGGTTTACCTATGTGCAAAACTTGATGTTGATGCACGTTTTTTTTACAAGTATGATGTGTGTAACGATAACAAGTTACAAAATCTGTTCTGGGCAGATTCGAAATCGCGGGCCGACTACGCAAAGTTTGGTGATGTGTTGATATTTGACTCAACTTACAGAACCAATGCATACAAGAAACCTTTTGTCATGTTAGCTGGTGTGACTAGCCACTTTAGGACCGCGATATTTGCATGTGTTTTGCTAGCTAATGAGACAATTGATACATACACATGGGTTTTAGAAACATTTACGGAGGCGATGGGCAATAAAGCACCCATGTCCGTACTGACAGAAAGGGATAAGATGATGTGAGAGGCAATCAGAATAGTATTTCTAGACGCAAGACATCGATTATGTAATTGGCATCTTGGGGAAAATGTTGTTTCAAATGTTCACAAAAGTGGCTTTGCACATGCTTTCAAGCAGTGCATGGACATGGAAACGGATGAGACAAAGTGTGAGCATGGCTGGACGACAATGGTCGAAAAATTTGGACTTCAAACCAACAGTTGGGTGTTGGAGACATATGAAAAGCGCCATATATGGGCTGAGGCATATATGCGTGGACATTTCTTTGCTGGGATGAAGAGCAAGAGCCCGATCATATATGGGTTGAGGCATATATGGGCTGAGGCATATAAGCGTCATATATTGAGTTCTTCCTACAATGAAATGTGTTTTTATGCCTCTCAATCAACGGAAGGTTTCAAAGAGGCTAGCGATGCATGTCTTCCGATGACGAGCCAGATGAAGGAGTTATATGAGAGGAATTTGAATGATTGGAATGGAGAAAAAGGGAAACATTCATTCCCTTGACAATTTGGAGTAGAAGATCCTGATGTTGTGAAGACAAAAGGGAACCTGGGACGGGCCTCGTCCAACTGTCGAAGGCCAAGAAAATGTGGGAATTACAAATGCATTGGGCACACAAAGCGAACGTGTCCTAAGGTTCGGTTTAGCCGAACAGTGGGTAGTAACTCAGATGCAGATACAACCCACATAACTGCTGTGAGTACAATGCGGGGCCATTGCCCGTTCGCTACAAAACTGGGTTGGTGGATCCAAGTACACCGCACATTAAGCAACGACGACTATTTTTCAATGCTTCTCTTGATTCCAAGCATCTTGTGGGCCAATACGGTAGTGTTGAAGCAGTAGTGTGCAAAAATGATTCGACCAAAATTGATGAGGTGAATCAGGTAATTGTATAATTTGTATGATTTACTTATTCCCTTAATTTATTAGGTAGACAGTACTAGCTATTGAAAACACATGTGTATGTAGTTTTCATTTTGCACGGATTGTTGTACGTAACGTGTAAATAATTGGTTACGTATAATGCCAGGAAATGGCACAACGTTACTTATGTACAAGGCCACGAGTTGTAAATTTCCCATATTGTTTAAAGTGATGTTGTCATTTTTGTTTGCAGTGACTTGTCATTTTGAAAACTAATTGAAGGTGAGATATATATGGGTTGTCTGTGTATTGTTTTGGGTGGGAAATTGGCTTATGTCTGTATTCCAAGATTCCTATTACGGGTTGTTTGTTTCTGTTCCATATTTGGTTGGATCTAACTGAAGGGTTTTTTGCGGTGTGGTTTATCAACTAATGATGTGTTTGGCTTCGTATTGATTTGTCATGACTTGTTTCGGTAAATTAGTATTATATTTCAAGTAAAATACGAATTTTGTCCATGTGCATTTGCAAAATTGCATCCCAGCACATGCATTTTGTATACAATCCAAGGGGTAGTTAATTTTGGGTGTTACCTGGAGAAAGCAACCCAACGAAATCGTTACTTTATCTCCATACCGATTGCTATATGAATTACGAGTTACGAACAAGAGTTGTGAAATTATTTCATGTTAACTATGAAAGTGATGGGTTTATTGTTAGCAAAATTATGGTGGGCCTATATCCACAGCAACGAAGCAGTAATTTAAAGTTGACAAGTTAAAGAAGAAAATCAAGCTATTGTGTTATTGGTTTGAATGCTTGAAAAGGATGAAGACTTCTTTCATTGAACTGATGGTAACAAAGTAGAAAGTAACAAAGTACAAAGTAGAAAGTAAGTTGTTGCGTTGTTGTGTTGTTTGTAACAAAGTAGAAAGTAGAAGGGAAAAAACTACTCAGAAGTTATAATGTAGAAAGTAAGTTGTTGTGTTGTTGTTCATGTCCTCTCTCTCTGCAAACATTCTGCCCTTTATAGCTATTATTTCCTACGACCCCATGATCTGCCGATTCTGCAACTGCTTCTGTGCAACTTCTGTAACTGCACGGTCATTTTCGTGTCTTGAAACCACATAAAACCTTCACTTGTACCTGTCGAAGTGCATATAATTGAAGTTGCCACCTGTGTCCAAGTCCTTTTAGCCTTTCCTCGACAGATACAGACCCCAATTCGCGAATGTTTCCTCTTCGAGGGTGGCCACTAAATCCATGATCAGTGCCAGTAACTGCTCCACCATGTAAGTCAGGTGGCATGCAAGATTTAGTTGATAACCCTTGTCTTCAGGTGGGCTTGCCATGTGTCCTCAATTGAATGGGGCACCTGTTGGCAGGATGTGGGAAAAATAGGTGGAAAGAGGAATTTTTAAAAAATAACCAATCATAATTTAGCTGAAAATATGAGTGAACTTTACAAGAGAAAAAAAGTAGTTTCCATTTTTATGATTATAAACCCGCAATGTATATGTTGTTTTCAATATAAATAAGTTGTGTATTGTGGTTACGTAAAATGAAGGACAACAATTGTGTTTATGTCATGACAGTGTAGAAAAACCGGTATTTCAAATATTAGCAAGTTTACCAACATTGAATTTATTGATTAAATTACAGGAAAAATTCAATATTTGGCAGGGTTTGAAGGTTCAAAGGCAGGGGCAGTTACAGTGAGTGGCCTAGTGTTGTGGTTTAGTGGCCCAGTTTGTAAGGATTGTGGTTGCGTTTAGTGGACAATATTCTGTCGATTGTTATGTCATAATGATGAGGGACATGCGCCACAATGGTGAAAAGAAAGGTCGATAGGAAAGACTCAATATTTGGTAGAGTTTGAAGATTCGAAGTCAGGGGGGTAGTTACAGTGGCAGTTATGGTGTAGAAGTGTGAGATCATGCAATGATAGGCCACAAAGACAGTATACGGATATGAAAACCCAAGTGTACTAAACCTCCACTTCTAATTGTCGATCTCCCTTTTCTTCAGTTTATTTCACGGCAACCAACCGTTTGGAACTTTTGTCGACAGAGCAAGGCTCCTTCTTTGTCTCATGCTTCCTCCTGAAAGTGCCCACCAACTCCATGACTGGTGCTAAAAACTGCCCCCATCACTTCTGCGTGACCCACATACAGACAACCCATTTTCAACTGCTGGACTTTCCTTTAGACTAGGCCACGTGTCCTCTATTAAGTGGACTATCTGTCGGCAAAGACTGGAAAAACTTGGTGCAAACAATGGCATCCTTGTTCAAGTTATATATCATATGATTTAACCTTCACCAAACTTGCCAGTTGGGCCTAATTTGTACATAACAAAAGATTTATTCCCTTGAGCCCAAGAGATAAGTCGAATAGCAAATTTCTTAATATGGGCCCAAAACAAACATAAACTACTGCCCAATATGAGAGCATTTAAATATGCTGGCCCCATCATAAGCTATAAAAGACCCACATTTTCAACTTCAAACCACTTCAACTTCATTTTCCTCTGATTTGAACTCCTCAGAGTGCACTCCTTCTCAAGCATTGCCGTTCAAAACCACAGCACCACAAAACCCTCAGCCACTTCAACTTCATTTCCCTCTTATTCGAACTCCTAAAAGTGGACTCCTTCTTCTCAAGCATTGTCGTTCAAAACCACAACACAACAAAACCCTAAGCCATGGCGTCCAAAAAATCTCAACCATCTCCATTTGAGGACAACAATGAAGACCTACTCCGCTTCCCAGACCCTATCAGAGCACGTAATGCTCCTTTAAAATTAGGTATTACCCTATTGCCCAGCACAAGCTCTGTCGCTAAGGCTACGGTAGACCCTACCTTCACGTCTTTCTTTCCAGACGAGCTAGCTCTATACTATCCCCTTGGTAATGGTGAGAACCTTCTTCTCAACCAACCTAGACTTAGGTGGACTAACTGGAATGTCAGCAAAAATCCACTCAGATCGTGGAGGTCACCAGACTCTGTTTGGCGAAGCTGGGCCAGGAGAATTGAAGGTCATGACGCTGAAGTATGGAAGCACCAGGGCATTAGTGAAGCAATTAGACCGTTGACTAAAAATTATGACATGGACAAAAGGCTGATTGCTGCTGCTGCTGCTGCATGCTTTTGGTCGCAATCTTGTAACTCCCTGCTCCTTAATTTTGGTATGATTTCCCCTACTGGTCTCCCAATCTTGGGCAATCCAATTCATGCTCTCCTTAAGCCTCCAAAAGTGACATTTAGTTTAAACACTGACATGTGCTATATAGATTTCGCCCAAAAATACAAAGGCAAGCCTGGTTCCCCTGTCCAGGACAAAGAAAGAACTGCTTTTTACGTACTTTGGCTTTGTGAGTTTGTTTTTTGTGTCCCTGGGTACAAGATCACGAAGGAATACCTCCCCCTTGCCATGTGTATGCAAGATGGCCAACTTATGGCTTTAGCCCCTTATCTTCTTGCCACCCTTTACAAGGCCCTATTTTCCTTTGTCGACAAGAAAATTTCTGGCAACTCTGGTGGCCCCTTCTGGCTTTTCCAGGCCTGGTTGTATGCCTATTTCCCTGAGGCACGACCCCCACCAGCTAACACCTTGAAACCAGTTTTCCACTCCTATGCTGAGCAATTGCTCACTTATAACAGCCAACCCATCCTCACTTTCAGAAATCATCTTACCATGTTTTACAACCTTCTTTCGAAGAGACCTTCCAACTTGTACATGCTGTGGAGAAGTGGTTTGGAAATACTCTTATGATCCTGGGGGACGTTAATGATCCTCAACTAGTCACCTGAAAAAGAATTAACACTCCAGTCAAGGGTGCCAGAATTAGCATTTCGACGGGCAAGTCAGTCCCTACAATTTGAATTACTTGTATTTTAAGTTAAGTGTAATAGTTCTCACATACCTTTCTTAGTTTGTTGTTCCTTTATTTATACTTGCTTCCTAGGCCTCGGGGCCAGGCCCACTTTTCATTCATTATCCTCTTATTTACTCGGCTCCATAGTTCAATAGATACTTGGCCTATCTATTGCATTCGGCCTCCTGATCGTGCAAGATAGAGCCGAGTAATATCTGTCTTCTAGAGTGTACGCTTCTGATTCTGCCGTTTATTC